CTATAAATAGTACACGCCCTCATTTGGATTTTGGAACTCTAATTTTCGTCCTTCATAATTCTGAAAACATCCTCTTCATTTTGCTGCATTATTTTCTTGTCAGAGAGAGTATAAACACTAGGTGTTCGTTAGGCAAACAATTTGCATAGCTGCTATTGTTTGTAGTAGATCATTTTATCCTGGGAGATAGACGTCCAAATTCTGAAACACCGTGGAGAGGACGATCTGTCTTAGGACACAGTGTCAAACGCTGGACTTGATCAGATAATTATTCAAAGAAATTAATCAAGTAAGTTGTTTAATTTATTATTCTGTTTTATTATTTTTTTAAATCAGACTTTAAATTTGTTTTTTGTAAACAAAATAAATCTATTTTTTATTTATTTATTTTATTTCGAGTTTGATTTTTGTAATCAAACATATTCTCTCCTTTCTTTTCTTTCTTAATATTCTAGTTGTTATTTTGTACACAATAGAATTTAATCTTTTTAAATACAGTGAAGATTGTCCAACAATCTTAAGACAGATTCTTTTTGGTATCTTCATTGTATTTAATTTTCTGTGTTTTCAAAGTAATATTCTGGTTAGAAAAAAAAATAGTGATTTATGCTATTGACAGAATAGTAGTAATATACTGTCTCTTTTCTTTTGACAACTAGTAGTAATAATCTGGTGTCATTAACAATTGCAGAATATTATTTGGTGTTACAGAAAATTATTTTGGTATTTATTTTTCGAGTTTTAGTAACAGGAAATAAAATTATTTTGTTGTTATCATTTATTTTCTGGTTTTAGTAACTAGAATTTATTTTCTAGGTTTTGGTAACTAGAAATTATTTTGTGTTTTTCCTGATTTTTGTAATCAGGGATATTTATTTCGGTATTTTATTTTTTCTAGTTTTAGAACAAGGAAAATAAAATTATTTTATATTTCTAGTTTTAGTAAACAAGAAAAATAAAATTAATTTGTTGGTATTTTATTTTCTAGTTTAGTAATATAGAAAATAAAATTATTTTGTATTATAATTTATTTTCTGATTTTAGTAATTAGAAAATTAATTTTGTTAATCAATCATGTAAACTTGTGTGTATCGGTCACAATTGGTAAATTTTGTACGTGACTTACGATTTTCGTTTGTAAGATCACTTAATTTTGAACCCTTTGTGTAAAGTGTTTAATTCTTTTGACTATCATAGTTCATTTTGAATATACATGGTAGAATTTGTTTCTAGAATAAAATATTAGTTTTACAAACTAATTTCATTTTTATTACGAAGAAACCTTTATGGCAAGATTATTTTCTATTTATTGGTTTTCTGAATCATTCTTTATTTTCTATGTGTGGATCACAAGTCGTGAATAGTTCCTGCACATGAGTTCGGAAATCGGTACCGTTAAATTTTTTCGATTTTTCTTCATGATTTATTGGTACATGAACATGGTTCTGAATAGGGACCGATGTAGGTGTAACAATAGGAGTATCACTGCCAGATGCAGTTTCAGTTGCAGTAGCCATAATCTCTTATTACAAAAATCAGAAAAAATTAAAATACAAATTAATTTTCTAGTTACTAAAACCAGAAACTAAAACTAGAAAATAAAATAATTTTATTTTCCTTGTTACTAAAACTAGAAAAATAAAATATCACAAGAATTTTCTGTAATACCAAATAATATTCTGAATTGTTAATGACACCAGTATCGTACTACTAGATGTTGTCAAAGAAAAGAGACAGTATATTACTACTATCTGTCAAATAGCATAAATCACTATTTGTTTTTCCAACCAGAATATTACTTTGAAAATACAGAAAATTAAATACAATGAAGATACCAAAAAGAATCTGTCTTAAGATTGTTGGACAATCTTCACTGTATTTAAAAAGATTAAATTCTATTGTGTACAAAATAACAACTAGAATATTAAGAAAGAAATAAAAGGAGAGAATATGTTTGATTACAAAAATCAAACTCGAAATAAAAATAAATAAATAAAAAACAGATTTTATTTTGTTACAAAAAACAAATTTAAAGTCTGATTTAAATAAATAATAAAACAGAATAATAAATTAAACAACTTACTTGTTTAATTTCTTTGAATAATTATCTAATCAAGTCCAGCGTTTGACACTGTGCCCTTAAGACAGATTCGTCCTCTCCACGGTGCTTTCAGAATTTGGACGTCTATCTCCCAGGATAAAATGATCTACTACAAACAATAGCAGTACTACAAATTGTTTGCCTAACGAACACACTAAGTGTTTATACTCTCTCTGACAAGAAAATAATGCAGCAAAATGAAGAGGATGTTTTCAGAATTATGAAGGACGAAAATTAGAGTTCCAAAATCCAAATGAGGGCTGTCCTATTTATAGATATAATGGTGGCTGTAGGTTTTGAATTGAATAGGTATGAAACCTGTTGGTTTTGAATTCAAACAGATAACAAAAATGGGAAGGGCCCTGTTTAGGTGTACAGTAAATCCGGATCAGATTATTTCCGGTTTAATATGGGAAGGGCCCTGTTTGGATGTACAGAAAAATCAAACCTGTTTAATTTAAATTCCAGATTTTATTTTACCAAAAATAAAATTAAATTCAAATGTTTTTGACCCAAAAAGATTAGTATTGGGCCGGACAAACCCAACCTCACACCACGCACCCAAGCTCAGGCCCAGCCTGCCCGACCGGACGAACGGCGGCGGCGGCGCGTGTGTGGTTTTTGGGTCCAATGGGTCTAGCCCATTTTGCCTATAGCCTCTCCCTCTAAAACACTTGGGTACCCCTTGGGGCACACCCCAAGTACCAAACCCAAGCCTTATAACCCATTCAAAACCTCCCACCAAATCAACGTGGGACAAGCCATTTTACAACCTTAAGGAATTTCCACCAAAACTCCATTTCCTTGGAGCACACTTTGGCTTCAATTTCCCATTCACTCGGTAATGGTTTTGAGCAACCAAATATACCACGTGAATCACAACGCGGCATAGAACGCGTTACCACTTTGACCCGTGAAAATCGACGCACGGGACCCACCTAAAAAAATAGACCAAACTTAGGAAAAAATTCTGATTTTATCCAGAATTTTATAACCATTTCTAACAGATAGTAGGTAGAATTCAACGTATAAGATGTTAACAATAGCTTGTAAACAAAGAAGAGCGATAGATTTATTTTTTGCAACAACATCAATATGATGAGTACTGACTCTCACAGGACTTAATTGGCGCCAAGTAGTCTTATATAAAGATTTTTTAAAAGTTTTTGATACTTCAACAAAATTATTTTATTGTATATATATTCCTACTTCACCATTTGTTTTACATATGTTAGTAGAAATAATTAAAGTTTTCATAAAATATATGGGTAATGAATATTATGTAACTATTATTACTTCAATGAAAGTAGAATTTGATAAATATTTTGATCATTTGCCTCATCTTTTAGGTTTAACCATAATAATTGATTATAGGTGTAAAGAAATTGATTTACAATAATTTTTAGAACGTATTTTTTGTTGATCAAACACAATTTGTTCCTATTATGCAAATATGCAACAGATTATTTGAAGAACACAGGGCAGCTGCATCTGTAAATACACCTATACATACTACACTAGCAGTCTCATCTCGAGGCGGGAGATTATGTGTTTTTTCAGCAATAAAAAGTAGAAGAATATCTCAACATACAAGTGTAAGTAGTTTTGAACTACAACGTTATTTGAAAAGTCCGTCAGTGGATGATTCCGATGATTTTGACACTTTGAAATGGTGGAAATAAAATAAAACTATGTGGCATGTGGTTTCACAGATGGTTCGTGATATACTAACTGTTTCTATTTATACAGTTGCTTTAGAAACAGCTTTTAGTTTAGGTGGACAGATGCTAAGCGATTACTGGAACATGCTTGCACCTTGAATGGTTGAGGGACTGATGATATTCAGAGATCATATACACTCGCTTACAAGAAGATAAAATTGTAGTGAAAATGAGTGAATTCAAAATGATTTTGATGACATATCTTCGGGCAACGCGACTAAAATGTCTGTCTCCTCCAATGATTGATTAACAATTTATTTTTTACTATTTTATTTCATTTCTTTTTTTTTCTTTTTTTTATTATAGATTATTGAGGTGGCGTATAATGCAAATGATTGGTAGGCTAGCAAGTGCCAACCTAGTTGGGATGTACTTGACCTATAGTGATACAATTGCTCGATCATCATCAATAATCTACACTTATTTTATTTAATAATATAAATTTTTGTAATATTTTATTTCATTTTGAAATAAAAATTATTCATTGAATAAATGCTATATAATTAATTTAATGATTGTAGTATTAAGAGTTTCATTTTCATATATAAAAAATTATTCATTTCAAAAGGAAAAAATTACATAATTGCATACTTTTTTAGTTATAAGTTCATAATTAAAAAAATATAAGCCGTACACAATCAAATTTAATACCACCATACATGAACCATAACCAAACATCCCATTAATCTTAACTAAAATATTCTTGTACAAATTTTCTTTTATTTTTTTATCTCTAATAAATAATCTACATAGATAATGCCTTTATCATTCATTTTTTCAAAAAAAAAAATGAAAGAAAGAAAAAGGCCCCCTTTAGGCCTGGCCCGCGGCTCGATCACATTCTAAGTGGGTCTGGGCTTGGGCTTGGGCTTGGGTCTGGGCCCCACTTTTTAGTCCATGGGCCAGTCCGACTCAACCCATTAAAAAAACGAGAGCCCACAAGGCCCACTTAGGTTTGCCTGAGCTCGGGTCTAGGCCGGGCCATTATTACATCCCTATTTATCTTGCACTAATGATGCTACTGACATCCCATCTAATTTTGTAAGTAAAAGATAGTAGCTTTCTCCAATTATATACCCGCTCCCCGTACCCAAGGGTTAGGCATCGTGATGGCCAGTAACCGAGGTTACCTCCGGCCAAATCTTTAAACAATTTAATAAACGCGAGCGGAAGAAATATTTAAATAAGGGTACTAAAATAATCATTGGAGCTTCTATTTTTATTACAAAATGTATCGACCAAAAAGGCCGATATTTACATAAAAAAATACATTAATAAAAGTGCTTGGTGCCTACCCCACACGCTGGTCCTGACATGTCACCTGAAAGTGGTAAAAAAACTATAAGCTCATAGCAGAGTGAGAAATATTATACTGAGAGTATAAGGCGTAAAATTCACCATGGATAATTAGTTAGGCCAAAAAGAGCTTGATACATATAATACGAAAATCATTTGATATATACTTCAGATCATTTGACATATAATATGTAATACGAAAATCACTATACAGCCATAACCACGGTACATCACTAAGTGCCAAGCACTACACTGGTCAATGGATCCACGACAAACACTGGACCACAAAGTGGTCAATCACTAAGCCAATGGTTATTTAAGTCCCCCAAGGCATGGGACTCACTAAATCAATGGTTATTTAAGTCCCCCAAGGCATGAGACTCACTAAATCAATGGTTATTTAAGTCCCCCAAGGCATGAGACTCACTAAATCAATGGTTATTTAAGTCCCCCAAGGCATGAGACTCACTAAATCAATGGTTATTTAAGTCCCCCAAGGCATGAGACTCACTAGCCAATGGTTATTTAAGTCCCCCAAGGCTGGGTTTCCTTTTAAGCAAATAGGGTTCAGAAATAAAACCACGTAACTGAAACCTTTATAAAACATAATTTTTATTAATATATTAATAAAATATAACTTTTATAAAATAAATTTTGGTAAGTCAAAACATACATAAAATACATTTTGGAGACTCAAGGTATAATATAACTCACCTTAACTTTAATACCTTACTTTCTTTCCACTATCAAAGACCCTTTTAGCTTCTACTATTCTTTCCTTCTTTTCCTCTCTTTTCTTTCTTTCTTTTTCTTTCTTTTCTTTCTCTCTTCCTTTCTTTCTTTTTCTTTCTTCCTGCCGTTTCCTCTCCAGGCGCCTCCGTATTTATAGGGGGAAAAGGCGCTACGTGGCAGATTCAGTAATAACTATATAAATTCGTTCTTATTCTTAATAGATATTTAAGATAATTACCTTTTGACCCTATATTTTAATATAATTATATAAATTAATTAATTTTTAATTAAATTACACATTATCACATACTAACAGAAAATTAATTATTTATTTTATTATTATGTCCATTATTATTATTATTATTTATATTTTGACCCCTAAACTTTTAATAATTATATTATTTTACGTACAAACCATTTTCCATATAAAAATAATAAATATTTTTTTTTTAATATCTTTTTACTAAAATACTTTTAAATTTGTTAAAAAAAATTCTAAAAAAATATTATGAAAATAAACCAAGGAGAGTCGATATATCTTATAGAATTATTCACTCGTACCAAAAAATATATAGAATTATTAAAAGATTATAATAATGTGGTTAAGTGAGTAAGAAAAATTGATAAAATCGAACTTGATCAATTAGTAATTTTTTGTTTAAATTATTTGTTACACTAATATAAATTGAATCGATCAAAATATTATATTTAAATATTTTTATATTTTAGTTCTTTAAGCATTAGAAAATAAGAAAAAGCTAACAACAGATCACTTTTGTCATGACCCGAACCCGCCCCCGTGGGTTAAAGACATAACCGGCCAGTAATCATAAGATTACCTACGGCCTCAAACCAAAACAACGTATTTTAGCAGAGTTAATGGGGGCCAAACGGAAGCAATTTAAAACTTTGTCCTTAGAGCTGTGCTTACATGGCACATTAAAACAAATCATACACATATACATTAATAACTCACAACAGAAATACAATAGCATAAGTTCTGTACGAACAGGATCATTCAAAAACTAAGTCAACCCATGAAAACTATACACAGACATATACAAAGACTTCGCCAACATGACAACATAAAACAAAATGACAAAAAGGTGAAGGCGAGTCTTGTGCGTAGGACACGTGTGCTGACTCTTCAAAAACCCAGTTGCTCCATACAGACTTCACTGGGGCTGGGTCTGGGTCTGGACCTCTCTTGGCTCACCTACAAACACATGAATGAGCGTGAGCGAAAGCCCAGTGAATAATAACAAATAAAGCAAATACATTGGAACATTATACATCAGACGACCTCAGGCCCAATTCATTCATGACAAACTGGCCTTTGGCCTTTTCAAACTTAAACTGGCCCTTAGGCCTTTCAAACTTCCATATCAAACTGGCCTTTAGGCCTTTCAAACTTCCATATCAAACTGGCCTTTAGGCCTTTCCGACTTTTATTTCAAACTGGCATTTAAGCCTTTCAGACTCGTCATATCAAATTGGTATTTAAGCCTTTTAGACTTTCATTTCAAACTGGCATTTAAGCCTTTCAGACTTGTCATATCAACTGGCATTTAAGCCTTTCAGACTTGTCATATCAAACTTTGTCCACCATTCAACATTAATGAACTTTACAAAACTTCCGTAGAAGTAAGCAATTGGACAATAACATATTTCAGATATTACTCACAGTGATCGGCTTGTGGATTTGTCCTAGAGCTTGACCCTACACATCACATAACACATATGGGTCACGATTAATTCAATCCGTTCTAAATTCACATTTTCCTCTTTAGGCTTTATTCTTATCTCTTTAACTCATTTACAATGTTTAACACATGCCTAAGAGTGCTTTCAAGTGAAAGAGAACAGAAAACGAAACACAAAATGCGAAAACAAAATTTCAGAAAACAGGATCCCCGCTCGAGCATAGACTTCCCCGCTCGAGTGTACCCCGAAGGCCTGCAAAAGTACTGGATAGGTGAAATTTACACTCGAGCGTTAATTCTAGTGCTCGAGCGGAAGGCCTTTCTACATGGCTCCCCGCTCGAGCGTAAACTTCCCCGCTCGAGCGGACACCATGTCTGCAAAAAATGCTGGATGTATCATTTTTACGCTCGAGCGTACAAAGCTCCACGCTCGAGCGTGAACTTCCCCGCTCGAGCGGACATCATGGTCTACAGAAAATACTGGGAGTACGACATTCACGCTCGAGCGGCGATTTCCCCGCTCGAGTGGACATCAAATTTCAGGGTTTTCCAGATTGTGTTCTTGAGCTCTAATTCGATTTTCTACCCAACCTTTCTTGCATTTAACAGCTCAAACTCCAAATATACTTGTGCTAACATGTTATAAATATCAAATTACAACATTTAGAAGCTTAATTTCATAAATCAAACACACGCATGGCTCATTTCCCACCAAAATTCTTTATCAACATAATAATTTCATGCATTTAACACGTATACCCTTTTGAATGGCACATGCATGTGGCTTCTTACTCTCATTCTCAACTTAGATGATACAAATGGTGATCATAACATGAGTTTTAACCAAAACTCTACGTGAATCATATATTTCCCCGCTCGAGCGTACCCCGAAGGCCTGCAAAAGTACTGGATAGGTGAAATTTACACTCGAGCGTTAATTCTAGTGCTCGAGCGGAAGGCCTCTCTACATGGCTCCCCGCTCGAGCGTAAACTTCCCCGCTCGAGCGGACACCATGTCTGCAAAAAATGCTGGATGTATCATTTTTACGCTCGAGCGTACAAAGCTCCACGCTCGAGCGTGAACTTCCCCGCTCGAGCGGACATCATGGTCTACAGAAAATACTGGGAGTACGACATTCACGCTCGAGCGGCGATTTCCCCGCTCGAGTGGACATCAAATTTCAGGGTTTTCCAGATTGTGTTCTTGAGCTCTAATTCGATTTTCTACCCAACCTTTCTTGCATTTAACAGCTCAAACTCCAAATATACTTGTGCTAACATGTTATAAATATCAAATTACAACATTTAGAAGCTTAATTTCATAAATCAAAACATGCATGCCTCATTTCCGACCAAATTCTTTATCAACATAATAATTCCATGCATTTAACACTTATACCTTTTTGAATGGCACATACATGTGGCTTCTTACTCTCATTCTCAATTTAGATGATACAAATGGTGATCATAACATGAGTTTTAACCAAAACTCTACGTGAATCATATATTTCAAGCTCAAACGTACAAATTTAAAACAATTTCTTACATGCATGCACATATTGGCCCTCAATTCAACAAAACCAAATCAATTACATCATGCTCAAACAAATTCATGTTCTTGACCATTATTCCAATTTGCATTCACAACATTACAACTTGATATTCATGAATCCACTTACCTAGAGGCTCAGTTCTTCACAAATTATGGTCAAATCTAGAGTTGATCTTCAATTTATCAAGCTTCAAAATCAAACTCACAATCTCCTCCTCTCTCTCTCTCTAGCCGGCCTCTTCCTCTCTCCTTAGAGTTGAAATCAGCCCAAAATGTAACAAAGGAGGAGAATTGAGGGTGTATTGCCTCTTCAACAAAACCCACTAATTCCAATATAATATTACTAAGGTAATTGGGCACTAATTTAACAATTTAATCAACTTAATCTGGTCCGAATCAATTTTTCAATTAAACTTCACCGTAGGCTCTAAAAATTATGTCAATCACAATGGCGTAAACAATTTCGGGTTCTGTGGCCGATAAGGCCTTCAATTTAATTTCCAAAGCAAATAGTCAAACAGATATTCCTACGGTGAACAGATAGAAATTCAAAACCACATACATTCACATAATGGCATACAAAATCATATTAATCACATAATCATACTCAAATTAATGACCAATTAGCATACCACGGAACAGGGGTATCACAGCTTTATAAGTTTTTGTAAGATTTTTAATCCACACAAAGTTTGTGTGTGCATAGTCCGCAACCAATTAACTTATTCATAACATTAGAAATAATAATCTTAGCATCTTAATTTATACTTCTCATACTTTTTTATTTGTATTTTAGTACCTTACCACTAAAAAAAATAAAAAAATTGAGAGACAAGTAAAGTGTTAATTTTTTAACTATAAGTCGAATGTATTTAGTCATTTTTAAGGGTAATTTTACTTTTTTCTCTCAAATTCTCACTATGTTTTTATTTATAAATTTTCATCCTATGTTATTCATTTGATCTATTTCATTTTTGAAATTTTTAATTTTTATTCATGTAGTTTAATTGTGCATGATTGTACAAATTAATAACTGAAAATTCTAATTAATAAAAAAAAAGTCATTTCAATAATTACTGATCTGTATAATTATTTCAAATTGAATCAAATATAGAAACTTATAGAAAAAATTGTGATGACTTAATAGATAAAAGGGAAATTTACCTTTATTTTTTGTTGCCCTTTTTACAAGAAATTTTTGTATCGTGGTATTACTTTTCCCAAATTACAAATATATATATATATATCCTTATTGTTTCTCAAATCGGTGGTGTTACATGTAATATTATGTCATTATTATTGGTTTGACCTATTATATAAATTATAAATACTCAAAAATTTTAAAATTATACCACACCATCTATTAATATATTAGTTAATACACTAATTGATACATACAATATTATTTTTCCCAAACACCTGACTTAAATATAGTGAATCTTATTATTAAAATTAATCACAATAATAAAAAAATACCATATGACATATATATTATTATTAGGAAAAATTGGTCTAAGATCCCTCCTCTACTTTCGATAGGAGGAGAGGTCCAAAATAATATTTTTTGATGGTTAAGGTCCCTCAAGTTTATTTTAGGTTATAAAGTACCTAATTTACCCTTCTTTTATAACATAAATTTGTTTGAATATTATATGCTTGACTTCACAGTGGATATTTTGGAAATTGACTTCGCGTGGAGATTTCGTCGGAGATTTCAGTGGAGTTGACGAGAAATTGATTTCAATGTTATATTGGTGAGTTCACGGTGGAGATTTAGGAAACTGACTTCGCGATGGTGATTTTGTCGGAGATTTTAGTGGAGTTAACGAGAAAGATTGCTACGATCTTGTAGGTGTTACAGTGGAGTTGAATCAGGTATGTTTTCGATGGAGATTTCAGTGGAGTTGACGAGAAAGATTGCTACGATCGCGTAGGTTTTTCAGTGCAGTTGAATCAGGTATGTTTTCGATGGATATTCCACATAGATTTTGATTTTGGTTTTGAATTTTTATTTAGAGAGAAGCTAGCTTGATAGAGTTGATTTTTATTTTTGGAATTAATTTT